AAGCGAGCGAGCCAAGTTACCTTTTTAAAAGCTCAGAGACCCATTCTGGCTGCTGTGCAGGAAGAGACGGGGTCCTGGAGAGATGGCCTTTGGGAACCAGAAGACTTGTTAGGCAGCCACTGCGATCATGCAGGGAGAGACGGAGATGCCTAGACCAGCAGTAGGGGTGAAAGAAGTGCAGGGAGCAGAGGACGCGGTGACCACGGACGGTGGGGGAGGGAGAGAGGTGCGGGTCCAGATGACACGCAGGTTTGTGGCCTCGGGAGAAACAGGTTTGGGCCAAGATGCTGTCATCTCACCTGGCTAACCGTGCCAGCCGTGGCTTCTTCACCTTTTCCCTGCGCGCCTTGTGCAAATTTCCCTGGGCCCGCTGGGTGCAGTTTCCCACTTGGCTTTTGTCACTGAATTTCCACACTGCTCCAAGATCTCACGATTGCTGCTCATGCTTAGGGCATAAGAATGTGCTGTAGGACTGCTCCCCATTTACATAACCATCTGCCCCTGGCTGGTGACTGAGCCTGTTTCTAATCCTGACAGTAACCAGGACCATGGTCCTTCCTGAGGCTTCCTGGCAGCTTGGACTTGGAGCCTGTGAGCAGCCCCATGGTGGGGTGCCAGTGAGCCGGGGGGAGCATTTTAGAGTTTGGAAGCCTTTTTAATTTTATAACTTTCTCGTAGCTTTACTGTGTGCATTTTGTTTGGTTACATAAATAATATGTAAAAGATTCAGATGATCCAGAACAGAACATAAAGTCCCTTCACTATTACCTCCCTACCCAGCTCCCAGGGCCTCCCTGCGAGTCACCATCATCAACAACAGGCGGCTTCCTTCCAGTCCCCTTAAAGCACTTTCACACTCTTACACACACCTTTTATGTATGTTGGACCTTATTATACATTCTGTTCGGTAAACTTCCCTTTATTATTTTGTCTGAGATCTTTTTTTTAACAACTGCACAGGTTTGATAATATAGTGGTATTATATTTTATTGAATATTTTATCTATTTTACTTACTCACCTTCTCTGAGGGTTTGGCTGTTTACTAATTTTCTCAGTAATGCTGCCGTAACTGTCATTAGGCTTACATTTGGGCTTACAGGCAAGGATTTCTGTCAGACGTTCCTGGAAATGGAATTGCTGGGTCAAAGAGCACATACACTTAAAATTTTGAGAGCTACCTCTAAATTATTTTTCCCAAAGCTGCCTTTTTCTTTAAAAAAAAAAAAAATTCCTTCAGTTACAAAAAGTAATTTGTGCTCTTGCAAAAAAATGTAAAGAATACAAACAAGACCAGAAAAGAAATTTTAACACACTCATAATTCCAGCATCCTGGAATGATAGCTGTTAACATAAAATCTATTTATCTAACTCTTTTTTTAGTACTTATATGTACATATGGATTTTTAATGAAAATGTATTTATAAAGTGTAGTCTTTTTAGAAACCTGCTTTTTGCCATTAACTGTATCTGACAAAAATCTTTTTGAGTCATTGAATGGTGACATTCTAGGTTGTTAACGTGGTTTAGGGACAAAAGGAGGAAGGCTTATGTGAAAGGAGGGAAGCTAAGAAGAATTTTTTTTTAAGACTATGCTAAATAGTTGATAACCCAAGTGCAGGATGTGTTCACCTGAACTATTTATGTAGAAGAATCATTCTACACCCCTGGTTCTTGGATGTATTTGAGAAGCTGGTGAAGCCATCTTCCTCCCAGCATGTGTATGATCACACAATTTGAATATATTTCTAGGGGTTCGTGTCCCTTCTTTCCCCAGTGGGGAAAAAAATGCATTATCTACATCATCATTTTAAATGGTTGTGCTGACCGCCTCAGTGTGGCTAGGCCACAGTCATGTAACCATAGCGTACTAAGAATATGGACTTCTGAGTCAGGCTGCTGCTGCTGCTAAGTCATTTCAGTCGTGCCCGACTCTGTGTGACCCCATAGACGGCAGCCCACCAGGCTCCCCCCATCCCTGGGATTCTCCAGGCAAGAACACTGGAGTGGGTTGCCATTTCCTTCTCCAATGCATGAAAGTGAAAAGTGACAGTGAAGTTGCTCAGTCGTGTCCGACTCTTAGCGACCCCATGGACCGCAGCCTACCAGGCTCCTCTGTCCATGGGATTTTCCAGACAAGAGTACTGGAGTGGGGTGCCATTGCCTTCTCCGCTTGAGTCAGGCACACCCCATCAAATCCTGGCTCCATTGCATGCTCTTCAGTCCCTCTGCCTGTTCCCCTACATGTAAAATCCAGACAATAATAGGCAGGTTCTAGTGTTGTCGGGAGGTTGAAAGATTTCGCATACGGAAAATGCTTAAAACAGAGTCTGGCACATGGTAAGTGCTAATTAAATGTCAGCTCTTATTATTTCCAGTGTTTGGGTTTTGTAACATATCTAACTCTCCTGTGATGACCTCCTAGGGATAAATTCCTAGATGTGGAATAGCCGCATGGAGGCATTAGCGTTATTTATGACATTTTGGATGGATAATGCAGAACCCCTCTATAAAGATTTAGATCCAGTCATTATCCCAGGACTGGACTTCCGGCGGTGCAATGGATGAAAATCTCTGCTTTGGTGGAGTTTACGTTAGAAATTGGGTAGACAGTAAGCAGAATAAGGAAGTGACCTACTAGAAAGAGACAGGTGCTATGGAGAAGACGCAGGGGTTGTAATTCTGAAGGGACCTGAGGCCCAGGGGGAGAGGAACGTTCCAGGCAGAGTGCCTATGGAGGGCTTGGGGGGCAAGAATGTGCCACGTGTGCCCGAGGGGAAGCCAGAAGAGAGGAGGGGGACCCAGAAGGGGACAAGGACACGTCACGGAGGGCCCGCAGTCTAAGTCAAACTGCACCTTGGGAGCAGCTTTAATCTGTTCAATGATCTGTCTAGAAAGGATGAAGTAGGTGTCCAAGGGAACACTTAGCATGAACTGAAATTATGTCTTTCTTGTTCCAATGTATGCTTAAGAGCACTAAAAGGAAAAGGCAACTCAGCGTTTCTCTAAGAAAATCAGAAGTTCTTATTTTCTGAGTAAAACATGTGAATGTCTCACATACTCAAGTCCAGTCTTTTTTTTTTCTTCTTCCTAGAACAGTGAGAGCCAGGAATAAAATGAAAAGACACAAGCTTGTTTTGTTTGTTCCCGGGCCGTGTTCCCAGGACAGCCTGTTTGCCAGGTGTGTGGTTTTGAGACCGTGTTTATCAGAGAATTTAGGCCTACAAGTCTCAGATGACCTTGTCCAGGTTTGAAGGTTCTGAGCCCCCAGGCCTCCCCTGTTCCTGTTTTCCCTGCACCCCACGGCCACAAAGCATCAACCTCACAGACCCACGCAGAGGGCAGAGAGCCCAGCTCAGAGGCTGGAAGTCAGAGCAAAGAAGTAGCAAACCACACTAGTTCATCTTCGGGACACCACAGCAGAAATAAGTGGCCTGGCATTTTCTACTCACTTCCTCCAGCTGCAGAACCTCTGCTTCAGATAAACTAGGGCTTGGGAAGGACCAGACTAGAAGCTGAGATGGTTCTAAATGACAGGGGATGGATCTCAGTGTAGAATGGAGGCTGGTGGTCCCCTGCTGCCACATGGGGTCACAGCTGAGCCCTGACAGGACGGCTGCTCTCCTGTTTGGGCATCATTGTCATCTTCACCGCCGCTCCCATTTGTGACTCCGCTTGTCAACAGTGTCTCATTGATCGCCTCCTGTATACACCAGTTCCCACCCGAGGAGGGAGGGACACTTTGCTCCACTTGGCTGAATGCCCACCAGCCTCCCCTGCTCCAGGTTAACACCGGTCAGCCAGTTGTTTCTTTGTCTCTATTCTCTCCCTTCCCTCCTTTCTCTTTTGCAGCTGGTACAGTTTTATCATTATGCAGTGGGATTAGACCTAATAGATAACGTCTCCTGATTAAAATTAAACTGTACCTCAGTTTAATTTTTTAGCAGATTTCAACAAGCAGGTTTATTTTTTCTTATGAGGCCCCTTTAACAAGAAAGTGTAAATACTAGTTGAAAAAAATAAAGCTATATGAAAACATCCAAAGAAGGGCAACTCTTCACAGCTTTTCCCTCCTTCTCTTCCTCTCCCGAGATACCCACTATTAACATATCAATATTTTACTTTCCAGCTTAGACCTTTTTTTTCATGCACACACCTATTCCGCATATAATTTTTATACAGAAAGAAAGTATAAACTCCTGTTTAATTCACGTCTGTGTTTCGAGCTCCAGGAACGTGATATTATTCATTCACTAAGTTGTGTCCAACTCTTTGCAACCCCATGGGCTACAGCATGCCAGGCTTCCCTGCCCTTCACTGTCTTCTGGAGTTTGCTCAGATTCATGTCCCTTGAGTCAGTGATGCCATCCAACCATCTCATCTTCTGTCGTTCCCTTCTCCTCCTGCTTTCAATCTTTCCCAGCATCAGGGTCTTTTTCAATGAATCAGCTGTTCACATCAGGTGGCCAGTGTATTGGAATTTCAGCTTCAGCATCAGTCCTTCAGTGAATATTCAGGGTTGATTTCCTTTAGGATTGATTGGTTTGATCTCCTTGCTGTCCAAGGAATCCTCAGGAGTCTCCTCAGCACCACAATTCAAAGGGACATGATAGGCACTGAAAATGTTTGTCGAACAAATGAATTAAAAATTTCTGAAGTTTGTCTTTCTCTTTCAAAAATGCACCATGGACAGCCTTCTGTGTTATCTAGCACATTCGTTTTACAGCTACATAGTACTGTACAGGGGCGACTTTAGGCTTCTCTGTGCTTTTAATATTTAAAGTCTTTGCATCTACGTCCTCCCACACGCATGTATTTCTGAAGTGAGTTGTGTAAACAGAATAATGGTTTTCCAAAGAGGCCCACATCCTAATCCTCAGAACCTGTGAGTTTGTTTCCTTCCATGGAAGAAGGTCTTGCAGGTGTGAGGCTCTTGAGATGGAGCGAATCTCGTGGATAATCAGGTGTGTCCAATATAAGGCACCTTATAAGAGGGGGGCAGATGGTACAGAGTCAGAAGGCGAGGTGCAGAGATGCAGCCGGGGTGGCGGTGAGGAACTGTGCTGACAGAGCGAAGGGTGGGGGCGACACCATTGCTGGAAGTCCTAAGCCAAAGTACGCCAACACCCTTCAGAAGCTGGAACAAGGTGAAGAAATGGGTTTTCCTCTAGAGCCTAGGGCTTCCCAGGTGGCCCAGTGGTAAAGGATCCGCCTGCCAGTGTAGGAGAGATGGGTTCAATCCCTGAGTCAGGAGGATCCCCTGGCGAAGGAAATGGCAACCCACTCCAATATTCTTGCCTGGAAAATCCCATGGACAGAGGAGCGTGGTGGGCTACAGTCCATGGGGTCGCAAAGAGTCAGACACAACTGAGCAACTAAGCCCAGCACAACACACATAGGTGGCGGGTGGTGAGGGACCTCGTTGACGATGTTATCAAACTTGTGATGTTTGAATTCAACAAAAGGTTTACATAACAGATTTCAGAAGGAAATCTAGTCTGTTTTATTTTTGCTTTCAAAATATTTTTTGATTTTCCAGTTTGCCTTCTGCTACTGATTTCTAACTTTATCTCATTGTAGTCAGAGGAAATACTTTGTATGACAAGTTGTCTTTTAAATCCTATTGAGACTTTATTTTTGTGGTCCAACATATGGTCTAACCTGGGAAATATCCCTGTGTACATGAGAAGAATATGTATGTTGTTGGTGGGTAGAGTGTGCTATGTCATGTATTGTTGGTTTGCTTTATCTATTTCCTTCTGTCTGCTTTCTCTTTTCATTATTTCTTTTCAGTTCTGTCCATTTTTGCTTCATTTATTCGATTGTCTGTCATTAGAAACGTAAATGTCTATAATGCTACAGCAAGAAGATATATCAAACTTGTATTAAAATATAATGTCCTACTTTGTCTCTTGTAATTTTTTTTTTAAAGTCTTTTGTCCAATATTAGTATAGCCACTCCCGCTCTCTTTTAGTTACTATTTGAGTGGAATATCTTTTTCTGTTTTTTTCTCTTTCAATCTATTTGTGCCTTTTGGTCTAAAGTGAACCTCTTGTGGAAAGACTGGCATATAGTTGGATCATGTGTTTTTATCCATTTTGCCAATATGTCTTTTGAATGGGGAGTTTAATCTGCTTACATTTAGGAGTAATTACTGGTAAGGAGAGAACTCTGTCATCTTATTTGTTTCCTGGGAGTGTTTTTGAGGCTGTTTCCAGAAGAGATTAACAAAGAGATTAGAAGAAAATCAATAGTAGGCTGACTAAAAAAGGATCTGCCTTCACCAAAATGGGCAGGCCTCATCCCATCTATGAAAGGTCTGAAGAGAACAAAAGGGCAAGTTATCTCCCTCTTGTTCAGCTGGGACATCCATCTTCTGCTGCCCTCGGAGATATCAGGGCTTCTGTTTCTTGAATCAGCAGCCCCTCACCCCCTAGGTCACAGGCCTTCAGCCTTTTACTGAATAATACCCATGGCCTTCCTGATTCTCCAGATTGCAGATGGCAGACCATGTAACTTTTCAGCCCCCATAACATGAGCTGACTCCTATAATAAATTTCATGTATACAGGTGACTCAGTGGTAAAGAATCTGTCTGCCAGTGTTGGAGACACAGATTTGATCCCTGGGTCAGGAAGATCCCCTGGAGAAGGAAATGGCCACCCACTCCAGTATTCTTGCCTGGGAAATCCCATGGACAGAGTAGACTGGTGGGTTATGGTCCATGAGGTTGCAAAGTATCAGATACGACTGAGCAACTGAGCATGCATGCACATTATATATATAAAAGAGAGAGAGATCTGTATAGAGATTTTTTTTTTTTCAGCCTCCAAATGTCTTGTTCCTTTTATTTATTTATTTTTTTACATGTATTCCCCATCCCGGTCCCCCCTCCCACCTCCCTCTCCACCCAATCCCTCTGGGTCTTCCCAGTGCACCAGGCCCGAGCACTTGTCTCATGCACCCAACCTGGGCTGGTGAACTGTTTCACCCTAGATAATATACGTGTTTCAATGCTGTTCTCTTGAAACATCCCACCCTCGCCTTCTCCCAGAGTCCACAAGTCTGTTCTATACATAGGAGTCTCTTTTTCTGTTTTGCACATAGGGTTATCGTTACCATCTTTCTAAATTCCATATATATGTGTTAGTATACTGTAATGGTCTTTATCTTTCTGGCTTACTTTGCTCTGTATAATGGGCTCCAGTTTCATCCATCTCATTAGAACTGATTCAAATGAATTCTTTTTAATGGCTGAGTAATATTCCATGGTGTATATGTACCACAGCTTCCTCATCCATTTGTCTGCTGATGGGCATCTAGGTTGCTTCCATGTCCTGGCTATTATAAACAGTGCTGCGATGAACATTGGGGTGCACGTGTCTCTTTCAGATCTGGTTTCCTCGGTGTGTATGCCCAGAAGTGGGATTGCTGGGTCATATGGCAGTTCTATTTCCAGCTTTTTAAGAAATCTCCACACTGTTTTCCATAGTGGCTGTACTAATTTGCATTCCCACCAACAGTGTAAGAGGGTTCCCTTTTCTCCACACCCTCTCCAGCATTTATTGCTTGTAGACTTTTGGATAGCAGCCATCCTGACTGGTGTGTAATGGTACCTCATTGTGGTTTTGATTTGCATTTCTCTGTATAGAGATATTAATCTATATATTTCACATTGGTTTTCTTTCCCTGGAGAACCCTGATACAGCATCCTAGTCTTTAATGTTTGTCTCTATAAAGGGGGGAAAACAGAAAGTGAAAAGGGAAGAAGAAGCTACCAAGCCTTTAACTCCCCCGGAAGTCACTTCGACCGGAGGGGGCAGGGCAAGAACAATCTGATTAGAAGCAGCAGTAGGCAGTGGGAGCGTGAATCTCTCGTATTTGGAGCAGGGTCCTTTTTTGCCCACCCTGGCTCCACAAGCTGTGTGCAAGCTGCCCACCATGGGGATGGGGGAACAGATAACTGCTATGCTCAGAGCTGAAAGTGACCAAAATGGACCACGATTTACTGTCCAAGCCTTTCCCTGGAAGTTGCAGTCCTTCAACAGACTCCAGAGTTCCAAAATACTTATGTCAGATTCTGCTGGTATAATTGTCCAGGGCGTATTTAGTCATGTCCAACCCTTTGCAACCCTGTGGACTGTAGCCTGCCAGGTTCCTCTGTCCATCGGCTTCTCCAGGCAAGAATACTGGCGTGGGTTGCCAGTTCCTTCTCCATGGGATTTTCCCGACCCAGGGATCGAACCCACATCTACTGCATCTCCTTGAATTGGAAAGCGGATTTTTTAGCCTGAGCCACCTGGGAAGCCTTATTGTCTAGCAAGGGAGACATATTCCTGGTGAGACATTATTCCTGGTGCTTCCCATCCCACTGTCTTTCCAGAATCCTTTCAATCTGTGTTCTTTTAAGCCACCTAGTTCATTGTAATTTGTTACAGTAGCAGTAGAAATAAATTCAGCAAGAGCCCTAGAAATTGCTAGTTCAAATTATAAACTCATTTTCTCACTTACTGTCCGTCATATACACATGGTTTCCATCCTGGTTGTGGCCCTCCAGACAATTCCCAATGTGTCCATGTTCCTCTCAAACTGTCAATCCCAGAATGACCCACTTTTCTAGACCCTGCCCATTGGTACAGAGTAAGCATTTTGTTAGATTTGATCCGTGTGTCTGGGACTCTCCTATTTAGCTCTGCTCTTTAGCTAGAAATGAACTGAACATAAAGCTGCCTCAGTTATATCTCTTCTGTCCTGTTCTCAAGTCCCTGGTTTGTTTTTGACCTTGGGACAAGATTCTTTCCTCCTTTCTAAACTTCGTGTTGACTAAACAGTGAAATATTAGCACCTCCAGCATCAAGTTACTGACTAGTTGCTTGTTGGCCATTTCAATTCCTTGTGCTTTGGAGATTAGAAAAAGCAGGTAGATTTGGCCCCTTAATCTCCAAGGAAGCTAACAGAGGCAACATTATAAATAGTAGGTAAAAGCCTTCATATCAAAAATGGCTCAGCTTCAAGGCTTTAAATGCCTAAGATGTGATTTATAGGGGAAAATTCACCAGAGAGCCCAGCTCAGAGGAGGGGCCGAATTTATGTTGGGAATTTATTTTGTCATCAGTGCCAGAGTGGCCAGGCCAGCCAAATGTTGGCCTGGATGCTGCAGGCCTCCTCTAGTGCCAGCAGGGATGAGGTGCTCCTGGGAGCCGGAAGCCTGTGCACACCCATGTGACAGAGACCTCCCTTAGCCCCCTGGGGCCCTGCCCAGTACTCAGCTGAGCAAACTCTCAAGGACTGACAATTCCTTGGCTCTTTATTGTCTGATTGGGGGTAGGTAGTTTACAAATTTAAGGGAAGTTAGAGTTTTGAGAGAGCCAATTCCATCCTGGCTTCTCTTTTCACAGAGATAACCGAGGGCTTCCCAGGTGGCTCAGTGGTAAAGAATCTGCCTGCCAATGCAGGAGACTTGGGTTTGACTCCTGGGTTGTGGAAGATCCCCTGGAGTGGGAAATGGCAACCCACTCCAGTATTCTTGCCTTGAGAATCCCGTGGACAGAGGAGCCTGGTGGGCTACTGTCCATGGGTCGCAAAAAACCAGACACGATTGAGCGCACACATAGGCAGCCAAGGCAAGTTTGTATAGACTTCAGAGTTCTCTCAGTTATGCTTTGGGGAATAGCCTCATGGAAAAGCTCTGTGGGTATTTTTCACTCCAGCCAATCGTGGGTGCACTGGGCCAGACCAGGAAAAATACCTGCAGACAAGGCTCACACACACTCACATTGGAAGCACTGTTTCCTAGGGCGGCTGTAACCTAGGACCATAAACTGGGTGAATTAAAACAATGGAAATGTCTTGTCTGTCAGTTCTGGAGGCTGGTGGTCAGGAGCCACAATGACATTAAGGCCACGTTCTCTCCACAAGCTCCGAGGGGATCCTCCCCTGCCCCTTCCAGCATCTACTGGCTCCCGGCGTTCCTGGCTGGCAGGTGCGTCACCGGCCTCTGTCTCCGTCTCCACACGGCATTCTCCCTGTGCATCCCCCCATCACCTTCCCGCTGCATATGGCCATCTCTGGGCCCAAACTGCCCCTCTTATAAGAACACCAGTCCTGTTGCATCAGGGCCTGCTCTGACTTGACTACCTCTGCAAAG